TGGTCCTACAATGGATTCCTGGTCACTGTGGCATTAAAGGCAATGAGCTTGCTGACACACTTGCTAAGAAGGGGACAACGATTTTGCAATGCATGGACCGCCCGATGTCTTTCCACACAATGAAGGCCTTAATCAGGAGAGAATTCCAGACCTCAAGGTTCAACGAACTCAAAGCTCGAACAAAGGAGAAACAGTGGACAGTGGCACTCTCCGACATAGCCGACTGGCCAAGAATCGAAGCCGTTGCTGAGTTTAGACTACGTACCGGACACGATTGCTTGGCAAAACATCTTCACAGATTGGGAGTATACACTCAACCCACATGCCCTCTATGTAACCTACATGAGGAAATGGAGAAGACCCACCTGATTCGGTGTCCAGCCCTAAAAACAAGGACGGAAAGCCAAAAATACTGGGAAGCAAGAAGACTGCTAATGAACTGCTATTAACTAACTGCTATAAATGTACCCCCCCCTCTTGGGGGAAGCTGAAGTCAAATATTAAGGGCTAATGATAAATATCATAAGGCCTGCCATTTGAAATAAATAAACTTTCGATGCACAACTCAGAATGCCACAAAACACGTCTTTCATTTTGGCAACACAGTAGTCACAAAATTGACTAGCTATATACATATTATTCACGGATTCCTGGTCATACGTGGAAAAAAAACTGTAGTTAACATTTGGATTCCAAGAAAATCAGATTCAATTTTAGGTGGATTAAGAAATAAATCTCGTTGAGGATATTTGTGTAGAAAAGGAGTACTACTCTGGAAGACCCGAGGTAAATGATCAACTTGCCTTCCAAGAGGTAGAAACTTCAAGATACATGAACAGTGCGTTGTTGGTGGCGCGGTTGGCGTGCTCGCCAATGGAATTAAATGTCACGGATTCGGTGCCCATAAAATCAACCCTTGCTTCAGGACAGAACAATTCCAATATATCTTCTTTCTGTAGATACACAAATAAAAAATGCAAGAAAAAACATGAACAAAGAAAATAAGTCGAACGATGTTAGTACATCAAGTAACAGCCTCCCAAACACAGCTTCATCATAATCAAATCTCAAGAATCTCTGTAATAGCAGGACCGTTTGTAGATGGTTGTTGAGTTGGTTTCGATTCGTTTACATCAGGTACCGCCACACTATCCCCGTTTTTACTGCCAATGGAGGAGTGAGAATGGAATGACGGATTCATTGAGTACATGGCAATCGGAGGAAAAGTGGAAGGCATGAGGAAGTGAGATGCATTAGATAGAAGATGTTCTTCTGAAGATGCTGATGAGCGGTCCTCCCGTTTTGAAGACTTAAAAAGAATAAAGTGAAATAAAATCAGTTTCCGCCTTTTGAAACCAGCTACTATTAAAACATGCCTGACATTGATGCCGTAAATTACATCAACCAAAAGGTATGGATATGGAATATACAAGACACGCAAATGAAAAGTTATGCTAAATTGAATTTGACACATATACAAATGTGCTAAAAGGTGCCATTTAACACTCCAAGGTTCCTTAAAGTTTGAATTTAATTATAATAAAATGAGTAAGTAAGAAAAGGAAGACCAACTCAGATTTCATTTTGATTCAAAATTTTTCTAACTTGAAAACGTCGCATACGCACATCCTGTATTTCAAGGTCTACCTATGTATACAATAAAAGTTACAAATCGAGAGCCTATCTTAGTGGAGGCTGGGTTGATGCATGACTATCGGTCTTTTCGACTGGAAAAAAATGTTTAAAGTTAAGAAGTGTGAAGATCGGGGGGGGGGGGGGGGGGGGGAGGAGAGGACGAATTTCTTGCTGCAAACAAAATGTACGCCATATACGATGCTTCGAGAAGATTCGTAGTAACGTTCATTCGAAAGCCTTTTGAATTTAATAAATTATGCAAACCTAGCCAACTGTGCCCGATTCACCGATGTTGATGAGAATAAGATTGGCGCAGTTAGTGCACAAGTACCGTTTCCATGTGCCGGCTGTAATTACCAATCAGACCGAAGATAACGTCATAATTAGAGGGGTCACAAGGGTCATAACTTGTGAGGTATGACAAGTAGTAGTACTACTAAATATTATATACTGTAGATTACGAGGTATATATAGATTTGTTAAAGTGCAATAAATAATATCAGTGTAAAACGAACACTGAAAATGGGTGGATTTATGCTTTTCCAACAAACTGAAATGAGTTAAATCAGCTTGCGTTTTCGTCAAATTTTTACTTCAGTGAAATAGCTGCGAATAGGAAATGAAAAAAAAAATAAAATAACCATATTGGATCAAGAACCCCCCAAATACTTGGGTGCTAAAACAGATCAGAGACAAAAGTCCGGACATGTGTTTTAACGAAAAACAAGTCTACACAAACAACAGTGGCAATCAAATTTCGAAATCGTATTTAGAAAGGGTCGGCAACTGGGTCAACTTTCAGGTGGGAAAAAATTACTGAGCTTCTGAAGCGTGACATTTCCCCAGGAATTTTTCCAATAGCATCCTCTTCCTCTGCCATTACCGAAAAAAAGTTCGTTGTGTTACTACTTATAAAAATAGTTTACCTAAGAGGAAAAGCTAACTAAATGCTACCTCAAATCAGTTAAGTCGGAAATTTTGGAAAAAAGTCAAAGCTGTATTTGACAGTCGACATTTAACTGTCGACGCACCTGCGCGAAGTCGATTAATTTCTCAAGGCAAAAAAACAAAATTGATAAAAAGGCGTCAACATTACGAGGAGAGTTATAAAACAGAAGATGGGGTTAAGCTAAGGTGTCATGTGTGGAATGCAGTAATGACTGCAGTAGAGAGGAGAAAAGCAATCAATTTTTAAGAGGAAAATTCGATAAGAGCAGAATGCAATGCGCTGCTCTATCCAATTGGAATACCAGTCGAAAAGATCATACCCAATTGTAAAGTCCATGTTTACTCTACTTTTTCTTAGTATACACAATTCTAGGTCCTTTGGTTAAAATATGCACACATCCTTGTCAAATCAACCTGCAAACCATAGAAGTGCAAAATAAAATCGGATAATTAATCAAATAAGGAAAAATTTAAATCCAAAATTTGCGGCAGAGAAAATAATCACAAATCAAGGAAATCCCGAAGTTCCAGCACATGTTCAGAGCACACGTAAATAAAGGGAATAGTCAAACAATCCGTTTCCACTTTTTTCATACAGCCAAACTCAGAACTCGAGTAGTTATAAAAAAAAATTGGTACATAATACAGTAAAATAGGCAAACATAACGCTAAATTATTCACATGCATTTACTGTACTTTTAAATAAATAAAGTGGTCTAATAAGAGCAAATCATTTAAGGTTCTGATGAATAATTAAGTCCTAGGTCCTAAGTGCTTTGAGATTAAAAAAGGACACTTGGGAATTGATTTGAGTTGTCTTTCATGCTCATTTTAAGAACGTAAGTTCCTAAGCTATAATTTCAACAATCTTCTTAAAATCTGCGTTCTAGATAATTTTATTAACATGCAATAAAAACTCACAAACGCTGAGTTATTCGGATTGACGGGGAGAAAATGACTAGGATCATTGTGAAGCAACTCAGCGGCAATCAGGCAATCACGTTTGTAAGATTCCTAAAAATTAACGAAGGTGAGCCCAACTACTATCTAAATTCAGTAGTAGCGACAAAGTAAATAGGCACTTGCACATGATGCGGAAAGGTGCTTTATAGTCTCATCGGATTCTGCGCATTTTTCCTTCAACTCGGCCAATTTGTCCACAAATTCTTCTCGTTCTTTCTGAATAGATTCAATCTAAATGGGAACAACATGGGAAATGAAGAAATTCATAAAAGATTAGTAAGAAAGATCGAAAAGATTTGACATCAGTTATTTCAGGAATAACTAAACAAAGTGAACAAGTCGAAAATAAAAAGGCACTTGCATTTGTAAGTAACTTTTCTTCGATTTCAGAGTTTAGCCTTACAATCTTCCTGTGTTCTTCAAGTAAACTTAAGTGGAAAACAGACTTCATTAATAGAAATGTAAATCATATAAATTTCCACTAGTATAACGTCGCTTACCTCTCGTACTTCTCACGATACATTACCATTGAGTCCCTCTCTCTTTCTAAAGACGAAGCATGTGTCTCTTTAAGGAGAGAAATCTCCCTCTTTAGCTGAGAATTTTCGGCCCTCAGCATTCGCACTTGGAGCTCTAGATCATCAATCTTCTTGTCAGCACTACAATAAAACCCAAAACCAAGTATAAACGCATAAAAATGAATCGATTAGTTCATGAAATTGAGGCAAAAACTGCGACAATGAAATGAAGATGAGGTCGGGTTAAAAAAACAAAATCGCACAAACGGATCCATAAATAACATTGATTTTACAAATCTAATGACTGCAATAAAGGATAAATTTTAAAGCAACTTGCAAAACGACATCTCATATAATCGAAAATAACATCAGATTTAAACCTGAATTTACCAATATACATATAAGGTTGAAAACAGAATTTAACGCAGATGCAATACAATAAGTACATTCAAGTATTACTGCATCATAAAGTAAAATTGATACAACACTAAGAACTGTCACGTTTCAGCCGACCTTGGTTGTGCAGCTCGATTAGATTGCATTTGGACCGTGAAGTTATAATTGGCAAGTTCAAAAGCGTTCAAATAAATGGAGTGTGTTTAAAAAACGCTTGAATGAAAAATAAAACTGTGAACTAAAATTGTGATTCAAACGTTTCATTTCTAATTTACGTCAATTTAGACTCGTATATATGCGAATATATCACATTATTTGGGATATTAAATTACTATAGATAAGTGTGGAAATTCAAACACATATAATGAGAGTCGAGATAAATGTGCTTATATTCTAATTCTAAAATTCACAATACTTTAAATGTTGCTTGTTTAATATTTAGAAAGATATCATTTTTGAGCCTGCAAGTAATTTTAAGCGTCAAAGTAATTTTGACTCGTTCAACAAGCAATGCAGGAAAAGGTATCAAAAAATACTTCAGCACAGCTTTGCAAACCTGACTGCGATAAGCGCCATTGCGATGTCTATTAATTAATTGTCGTGTTGGTTTCCACATTGTACTTTTCATTGTGTGTAACTGCAGCCACTAGGTGTCGAGTCAAAATGATAAGATTTTCCTAGCTGATCTACCATAAGCATTTGAGTGTATGAACAAATGTTGCTGTAATTTTTTTTCAAATTGAACGGGGAATATCTCGTCAATAAAAGTCTACGCAGATTATATTTTCAGCACAGTTGACGAATTATTTTGAATAAAGTTGATCGTTCTTCGGATTCACATTAACGGAGTAACTCTAAATATTTGAATACCTAAAATATTCGCTTCTAAGGGCTTGGAGACATTCTCCTATACACTGTTTAAGCTATTGACATTTTTTATTATAGACGATTAATTATAATTATAGTTTAAATATCATGAATTTGTCTAATTATCAACTCGAATCAGCAAGGGAATTATTATCGGTATCTTTCTGGCTTGAGCTGAGTGAACGGCAGCTATTCTTCATTTCTACTTACATTTGTTACGCAAGCAGGGGTTCACAATAGACTTGCCTCCACGTGGTGCACCCTGGGCAACGTATACTTATACGGCAAAAAAGTCTGTTGATCGGCAGTTGACTTCTGACTTCAAATTTCTATGGCCCTACTATTTTTCATATTCGACCCCTTTCACAGCACTCATCTTACCTTTTTTATGCCTTTGTGTCTGTCTGTCTCTTTTACCTCTGTGAATCATTATTCTGTCTCCCATCTCGACTTTTTGTCACTTTGATGTCCCTTCACCTCTCAATAAAGCCCCGAAGTCAGCTCCAGGTCTAATGATAACTATCAAAACGCCAGCCATTTGATATAAATAAACATTTGTTACGCTATAAATCGGAAGGATTCTCCGTTATGTATATATGGAAAAAACAATAAATTTATTGATCAGCTATTCCTGAAAACACGGTCACTTGCAACAGTGCGCTTGTTTTAAAATATGCAACGAAAATAGTGAAGAAAAACGGGCGCGTAGCTAAGCCACAAGCCCTATAATGTTCTCAATTGCAGGTGGTTTTTTGCTACGTGCACTGGCTGGTCAAGCCTGCCAATTGCTGTGTTGTTTTCGCACATTCTTAGCGTTGTCAGTCTTTGCGTTTGACAACTCTCTAACAGCTTGAATCAAAGTCCAATTGAATTTGGTCACATTTTGCACTACATTTTCCCAATGGAAATAGAATTATAAGTTTAGTAACGGTCATTCCCTTTATCTAAATTACGACCTAAATGTTGTAAAAATTTGAGCAAACAGAAAAGCGAAAGATTCGTCAAAAGGATGTAGATATTGGGTCAAATAACTCGCTTCAGCCGGTATATGCTCATCGGAAAATGGAGGGAATAAATGACACGAGTCTTGGAGACATAGAGATAGAGAAGTGAAACAGGTAGACAGCGAAAAGATAGATGTAGAACTTTGTGCAACTTCATCAAGCGAAAAGAAATGGCCTAAAATGATATGCCAGGTATAACTGTGACACAATGTTGACTGGAGAGACGTGAAGGTATCGAGACCTGTTACGCGCGCAGATTACTGAATCACATCATTAGGTGAAAAATTTAATCGAAAACAGAAAATGCGTACGTATATGCTATGGGAACGACACAACAAAGTGTAGCTATTTTCGACTCAAGTGGGGATTTTATACATGAATTCTAAGAATAGGAAGAAAAAGGCATGTCGCAATGTCATTGAATGTGTGTGTATGTGGAGTAAGGGTAGGGTACAAATACTCGTTAGAAGTTAGAAAAGAACGGGTTTGTTTCGATTTCTTGTTCAACGAACTCTTCTCTTGAGATACGCCTCTCACTTTTCCTAGGAAATTGGAATATTGCCGCTAATGCGAACCGATTCACTCGACTTTCCTTGACCCTCCAGTTCTTTTTTGATGTAGATATCCAGTAGGCGTTTCTGGAATTTTAATAATCATAAAAGGAAATGAAAGAAATAGATTAAGTGAGTTAGATGTGTTTATAAGTTTCAAGGCCACCGACTAAAATGCTATCAAGCACGAATTTTAGTTAGAGGATGAGAACCTGCATTTCTTGGCCAAAATTAACTAATCCAATTAGGAATAATGTTTATTGGATCGGGCACTCTTGACTCATGGCTTGATAGGTACACACACTGCCATGATTACCGGAACACAACAACATTGTATTGCATTCCAGCAGGATCCAAATCGTAGTTATTGGATCATCAAGAAAGTCAATTTAAAGTAATTGATTATTTCATCCGGGCATATTAAAACAGAAAAAAATAGAGCACATACCTTGCTAGGATTGAGCTCACTGAGATAGTCCCACACAGCATCACCGAATTTAAGCGCAATCTGCACCAGACAGAAGATGGTAGCTTTGCGCATTTGACTATTCTCGTGATTGCAGGCCTACAAACACACACGCATAACAAACAGAGAGAATCAATGGCATCTAAAATACAGAGGTTGAGGAATAGCAAGTACTTACGGCGATTAGACCGGGTATGAGATCGGGAAGGACATCTTGAACGAGGTCTGGTGAAGAGACTTTGATAACTTGAGTCTGCATCTTCACAGCGGGCAAATTGAGTGATGTCTGGCTATCATTGATTACCGTAGTGAGAAGACGCAGCATGAGCTCTTGAGAGAGATATCGTGCCACTGCCTGTGCGCACTCTTCAGCTGACCGATTCACCTAGGCGATAAAGAATAAAACATTCAATGGGGAAAATGAAATGATGCCCATCAAAGTACACAGGATGGATACCACTGAGGGAAACTTCTTAACCACATCGTTCAGAATAGCCTCCTCTTATCTTTATACGATATGAATATTCACGAAAATGACACGCCTTGTAACCTTGACCTTAATTAACCAGGACATTACCTCGTAGTTAGTTAAGATCTGTTTCATCTTCCCTGCTAACTTACAGATTATAAGGAGATCTCTTTTCTATTATTTGCGACTACCTCAAAATATGCTAGAAGCCCAATCATACCTTATCAACTCAAAGCGATAGAGATCAACCCTCTGGGGATAAAGATGAGTGCAAATAAAATCTAGTAGAGAAAGAATATTTTATTCGTGTATACAAATGAAATTAAGACAGCGGGTAAGACTTGGATAAGCCCATGGCATTTGGCTTCTATAAAAAGAGCGAATGAAACTGATATATAGGAGTAACGATGACTTTGACACGAATGTAGTTAAAATCAGAGAAATGGAAGACCAAAGAGCTTTGAATTTACTTTGACTCATCATTTCAACACCACTTCCATGACTTCCAGTTCCATGAATGACTGGAAGTGGGTTTTTCAATCTACTTATCCCAGGATCTTTGAAGGGAGACGGAGGGATTGAATTTTTAAGTCACTCGAGTAAGAGACTCCGTTCCCATAAAAATCTAACCTAGGTGAAGAGAGCACTTTCGCTTGTAAGAGATTGTAAATCAATCCATTAGGAATACTGGATAACGGCAAATATAATCTCTACCTAGCGAGTTCGTTCAAATTCCTCTACTTGTTACGAGGTTAATTAAAAAGCTATCTTACATATGTTTATTTAAATAAAGGGGAAAATAAAAGCTCTACAGTGCAACAAAGTCCCTTTTTACAACAAACATAAATAAATCTTGTTATCGAACAGGAACTAGGACAGATTTTAAGCGTAGGATAGGAACTGATGTTAAAAAGGAGAAATTACCAAATAAAATTCGAATTATTTTATAATTTCAGCGACGAACGCTGGCACGCATGTCCTAGAAACACCTCGGAATCATAGAGACAGGTGTACCAAGAAGGACGATTGACTTTAAAATCAGCTCTTAATAATGTGAAAAAGTTGAAAAACAGGTCCTGAAATTCGAATTTTGGCAAAAAATATGACTTAATGGTACCCAGTAAGTAAAAGTGAAGAGTCTTAAGAAACGGGAATTCACACGAAGTGAGAAGTTAAGTTCTATATGCAATACATTACTCTTACCTTAGTCCCTTATTGGACTATTCTACTGCTTCCATATATATTGGGTGCGCAACTAAGTCATTGCCGTTTTTGTTGACGGATTCACTCTATACTTTCTTTTGTTTTGTTAACGTGGCCAGAGCATCTAGCCTATATTTTTTTCTTACTGTATGGGCTTCCAGTTAATTCGTAACAAAATTTTTTTGTTTAGTTCTTTAGTTTTGTTTTTATCCCAATTTAAAAATGAAAGAACAGGACGTGCACTTCCGACACATTTTATTGTATTACTTCCGACAAGGCAAGAACGCATCGCAAGCACAAATGAAGTTATGTGCCGTATATGGAGATGAAGCCTTAAAAGAAAGGCATGTCGAAATTGGTTTGAAAGATTTCGTTCCGGTGATTTTTCACTGGGATGAAACCCATTTCAAGGCCATTATCGATTCAAATCGTCACAGCACAACACG